CCAGGACAGCGTTTATCACTGCTCCATCCCTGCTCCAAACCACCTCAGTTTCCCTGAGCAGCACTGCCCCAGGACAGAGTTTATCACTGCTCCACCCCTGCTCCCTCCATCCCACCCCAGGGCAGAGCTCCTGCCGTGGGAGCTTTGGGACAGAGATGGAGCAGAGCAGGAGAACTCCACGGGAACACAGCTTGAAGCTGCACCTACAGAAACCCCTCAGAAGAGGCTCCAAAATGGAACACAGCTCCAACATGGCACAGGCACAGCTGGCAGAGCTCCAGGGAAATGCACACTGAGGGCATGGGGGGATGGCAGGGGCACAACACCACGGGATCCCAGGGATTGAAAACCCCAACCTGTGCCCAATCCCCACCTTGTCCCCAGCCCAGAGCTCTGAGTGCCACATCCAGGAATTCCCTGGACACCTCCAGGAACTCTCCAGCCCCTTCCCAGCTCCCCCAGGAACTCTCCATTCTCTTCCCAGCTCCCTCAGGAAATCTCCATTCCCTTCCCAGCTCCTCAGGAACTCTCCATTCCCTTCCCAGCTCCCTCAGGAACTCTCCATTCCCTTCCCAGCTCCNCCATTCCCTTCCCAGCTCCCTCAGGAACTCTCCATTCCCTTCCCAGCTCCTCAGGAACTCTCCATTCCCTTCCCAGCTCCCTCAGGAACTCTCCAGCCCCTTCCCAGCTCCCCCAGCTTCACCAGGAGGAATCTGAGCACAGATCTCATCCCCAGGAACTGCACAGGTGGGAAGGGGAATCAGATCCTATTTTGGATCTGAGACATTGGGAATTGGGAATTGTTCCCTGGCAGGGTAGGCAGAGCAGCTGTGGCTGCCCCTGGATCTCTGGCAGCGCCCAAGGCCAGGCTGGACACTGGGGCTGGGAGCACCTGGGACAGTGGGAGGTGTCCCTGCCATGGCAGGGGTGGGATGGGGTGGGATGGGATGGGATGGGATGGGATGGGATGGGATGGGATGTTATGGAGTGGGATTTAAGATCCCTTCCAGCCCAAACCTTTCTGGGATTCTGAGAACATTTGTGATGAGAGGAGTTTACAATTTCTAAGCAGCTCTGTGAGGACAAAAGGGGCTGAGCAGACGTTCCCTGGTGTTTGGGAGGATGCAAGGAGAGGAGGGAGGGGCTGCAGTGCCCCACTCCCTGTCCCTGGGGAACCTGATCCCCTGCCCAGAGCTGCACTC